ACACTGCATGTTATATAATATACTGTATATAGCCATGGCACCAGTCCTGAAATAAGTATTCCCTGAAATCTAACTCAGAAATAGATTAATTTATTGATAGAACATGATACATTTATATTAACAAATCTATGCTCCTAGGATGAATGGACATTGTTCAATGGTTCAAGTCTACCGTGAAAGAGGAAATTGCTAAGATTTTGATTTCTTTTGTAAGCTACAACCAAACGTTTTGTGTATACATGGGGAAATTTGTTCTGAAGTTCCGAGTAATGGCGTTTGACTATTATGGAGGCTTTGGTAGCTGTAGAATCAAATGTCGTTATAAAGGGTATTATCTGGTTATCATGTTGAATGTTGAGTCCATTTGGCCTCACAGTCTGCAGTTGATCGATCCAATAACTTTCGCGTTGTAGACGTCTAAGCTTAGGTTTCATGCTAGGTGATGTAGAAACTGTTTCTATAGGCATGATGAGAAGGTCATCAATGGAATGATCGGGAAGTTTGAAGTGATTCGCAATTGGTCTATCCTTGCCATGCACTATATCATAGCGATGGCCATTGAATCTCATTGAGTCTCGCCAACATATTGTACATCGCATTTTTTACAAGAAATTAGGTATATGATATTTTGATCTCCGCAAGAAATTAGGTTATTCATCGCAAACAATTTTCCGTTCTTGTTATTTTTGAAAAAATGGGTAACATGTATGTGTTCGCATGTGCGACAAGTAGGATCTCCACAGGGAAATGAACCGAATCCAATAAAAGGTGGAGGGGGTCTTCTTTTCTCAAAATGTCTGAAAGCGTGTCATTCTTAATTTTTCGAAGAAACCTTTTGGAATAACCCCTCTCCCTTAATTTGTCAAAAACTAGTTTACAGGCGGATTCAAAATCAGCCTGCTGGGTGCAAATTCTATGAAATCTTAGAATTTGAGATTTAATTATTCCAGAAAATGTGTGCTTCGGGTGGAACGAGCTTTTGTATAAAAGTTGGTGGGTATCAGTTTCCTTAAAAAATACTTTTATGTCTAATTTTTTAGAAGAAAGAAAGTTGTTGCCTTTGAACACCGTGGTGTCCAAAAAATCCATGCTGTTTTCGCTGATATTTGCTGTCAATTTCACAGAAGGGTGGTGGTTGTTTAAAATTTCGAAATATTTCCAGAAATGTTCTAGAGTATCGGACCAAATGATAAAAATATCGTCAAGAAACCGGCCATAAAATAAAGGTTTAAACGGTGAGATGTTTTCTATCTCCCTCTCCCACTCGGCCATAAATATATTCGCATAACTAGGGGCAAATCGTTTGCCCATAGCAGTTCCAGATGTTTGTAAATATATTTTTCCATTAAAAAAGAAGTCATTGCGCGTTAAACATAGTTTAAGTAAATCAGGTCGATCAGAACATGGATATCGAACAAATGCCTTACGGACGGCGTCAAGACCAACATTGTTGTCAATGTTGGTATACATACTGGTTACGTCCAAAGAAATGAAATACGCGTTTTCGGGATGTCCAATTTCTTGATTTTTTCAACAAAAACGGTTGTGTCTTTCAGATAAGAAGGGTGTTGGCATGCTAGTGGCAGTAAAAAGTAATCTATGTATTCTGAAACTCGGTATGATTCGCTAGAACAATCAGAAATGATTGGTCTACCTTTAGGAATTTTGTTGGCAACGGACCACTCAGTTTCGGGATTTTTATGAATTTTCGGAAGCGTATAAATGTGTCGTTGGCGAGGCTCAGTGGACGCGGAAAGGTAGTCATATTGCTTTTCTGAAATAGATTTCTTTTTTACCAAATTTTGTAGAATATTGTTTATTTCTCGCACAGTTTCCATAAAAATAGGTGTATCAAGTTGGCGATAGTGATTTGGATTGTTCAACTGTTTATCAATTTCAAAAATGTAGTCATCGCGATTTTGAATGACGCAGCAACTGCCTTTGTCACTTTTCCTGATGATAATGTTTTTGTCATTTTTTAGATTATTGAGAGATTTTCGTTCAAAATTGGTAAGATTGTTTTTCTCATTCACCAAAGGCAAATGAGAAATTTCTTCATATAAATTGTCGCAAATAGTTAAAATATCTTGGTCAATCGCATTATCTGGTGGATTCCAACCAGATCTATCCGTAAATTTGATTCGTTTACCGCGGCCAAGTTTTTCGCGAAAGTAATAATTCAATTTAAATGTTCTCTGAACTTCAGTTACCGACGTCAAAATTGGTTCAATCGAAAACGGTTTATGGGTGGGTATGAAGGTTAACCCTTTGTCCAGAAGTCTTTCTTCAAAGGGAGAAAGTATTCGTGAACTTAAATTGACAACAGTTTGTCCTAATTTTGGAATATTTCCCCCCGCGTTTAGTTTAAATGGGAGACCCAATTTAAATATACAGATTTGGCAGTGGGGGCCGTCCAGTGGACGAGATCTAAATGGTTTACCTCGATCATTCCATTGAATCGCGGCATAGTCTTTGCAAACGGAGATGGCTTATGAAAAAGAAGGTCGTTGAATTTTCGTAAGTTGGCGGCTAAATTTGGTCTCTGGCGTTGGAGGATGGAAGAAACTGGTATCTAGGTGGCGAATACGTTGGCTGATGGGAATTTGGTTTTGGCGAGGGATAACAATTCCAGCATCTTTGGATGGATTCACCTGGTTCATTCTTGTTGTTGAGGCCAATATGGAGAAGGACTTTGGATGGTATTGATGTTGGATTAATCTTTGTAAGGATATCGATGATGTGGTTAATCCGGGATAAGATTCAGCTTGGGTGTCCTGGTTGACCTCTGGAATTCGGGAAATATTTGAAGATCCTATGATAATGGTTGGTTTGGTTACTTCAGGGAGTGCCCATGTTGATTTGTTCTTGTTACAATCATGACGACGAGGATGGTTTGGTGATTTAGAACCTAAGCTTAGACGTCGACGGAAAGTAGAATTGGCTGATGATCTTGGAGTTTCGGGGTTGGATCTAGGTCTTGATGGGGTAGCAGGTGAACTTGTAGGTAGAGGTCTAACAGAATTGGAGATTGGAGTAAAAGGGGAGGATGGTAAATTGGTGGTATTGGTTCTTTTGCTTGGAGTTGGTTGTGAGTAAGTAGAAGTACTAGGTAAGGAAGTAGGTGATCTCTGTCGCTTTTGGGAGGATGCTATTGGTTGGTTGGTAGGTGGTTGAGCATGTTTAGGTGGAGAAGCTGGAGGGTCAACTATCATATCTGCATCAATACCAGAAGTCGAAATAGGGTCAGAATTTTTTAAAACCACCAATATTTGCGAGTATTTTTTAAGAGTTTGATTTTGGAGTCGCTTATAAGACTTTTTTGCCCAATTGATCGATTCTTTAGAGTATTGATTAAAATTTGTGTATCAAAATAAAAAAAAATGTTTCATAGCAGTTATTGAAAATAACTCGTCCTTGAAAACGCTTTCAAATTTTAGCTCTTAAACACTAAAAGGCATGATTCTTGCCGGATTTTGACAAAACTTTGTTTTATTCAAATCAAAGCTGCCAGTGGGCGTAAATTATCTTATCCGATACTTCAGTCGATCTTGATTTCTAACTCGGTGACGCCTGATCGAGCCACCGCCACAGATTGAATAATAAGATGCAGTTTTCAGAGCTGATAGTATAAAATAATGTAGGTTAAAAGAGCTGGTTTGTTTACGATCAGATTTTGTATTCCAACCAGTCGTAGGCTAAACTATTTCAAAATTATCTCCCTTTGAACACTAAATGAATTTTAAAAAAAAAAAAAAATGTAAAGGATTATTTCATTGCGACATGTATAAAATGTACATGCTTAGGTATTAAAATTCTCCATGGAGATGGATGGTTATGTGATTTTGGGCCCTGTTTCATGTTTCTGAGTGTTGGTTCATCTAGTTTATCATTCCCTTCCATATCGGGAATATCTATGCGCCACTAAAAGTCTTAGTATTTAGTAAATTGTATAACATGCGTTAAAAAATATATAAATAATCTCTTTAATTTACATTGACCAGTCGTCTCATGTCATGTCTGACATTTAGCCTACGGATAGACATAAAAAAAAACAAGACAGAAGCTACTGAACAATTAACAAAAATTTCGATGTAAAATTGTTAAAATGTATACATGTGTAACCAAATGGATGGACAGATAATATTGCTGCGATCAAGTACACAGGCTAAGCCCTACCTACCATAGGTTAAATAGGATGTTTAACCCACTAATTTACTCAATATACACTTAGGCCTACTAGTATATAGGCCTTGTACCTAGTATGAAATAGACACATTTGTTTTGCTGTGATCATGATGAACACGTACGGTGCCAATTTAATTAAAGGAATACTATAGGCCTATATTAGAATGGACTTAAAATTTATATTCTTGGCCTGTAAGAGTACCAGGACTTACCAGGTGCCATAACTAAAGAATAGAATAAGATGATGTATCAATTAAACTAAAAAAAAAAATAATGAAACATGTTTCAAAAGTACCGTGCTTAGTTTATTGAATTATTAGCCTACTTACCGTGGCCCATTGGGGACCCTACTTATAGTTTTATGGATTATTGGATTATAGAGGGATTGACACCGGGTAAGTCTACTGATGAAAAAATTGAATGTTTTTGGTCTTTAAGGATTGATTAAAAAAATTAATAATCACTAATATTGATTTCAAATAAAAGCTGTGTTTATAACGATCAAATTGAAACAGGCCTATTTTATTTTAAATGAAGGGCTATAGCATTCCACAAATACATGACCGACTATTGACTCATTTTGAAATGGTTCAACTGCGTTTCGGAAAACATGAATGTGGTTTTCTAAAAAGGTCTAAATTGTCATTTCGCAATAACACATTTAACTGCATACCGGCTGATTATCATATTCCATTAGCCTCTCTTCTGACACGACCACCACGATGGTTATTTCCATTGAGAAAGTGTCTGGTTATTCGAGATGTAATAGCCTTGACCTTTATTGTGGCCAACTGTTGTTGTGAGTGGTCGTAGATCTAATTATTTCTTGTGAAAAAAATCTGCATACATTATCTATCACTAGTCGGAATGGGTGGAAGTTTTGGTAAGAGGTGAATGAAACACGTTTAGGATGGATGACGAATTGTCAAGGAATATTGTCCAAGACTATGTGAGTTACAGATTGAGAAAAAATGGCCATAGATGGCAAAATGGACCCATGATCGAGGGTGGGCCGAGTAGGATTTGCTTAACTATGCGAAGTTTAGCTGATGAATTTGAAGATAGGTATAGGTCTCAATTCGAGGACATGGTAAATCAATTAGAAATAACTCCAGGAATAGCTTACCAGACTTTCAGATCGGTTGTGAGTGAATTATTTAGTGATGGCGTGAATTGGGGACGAATTGTAGCATTGTTTACATTTGGAGGTTCAATATGTGTACAATGTGTTGAAAATAATATGCCTCATGTGGTGGATAATGTCGTGGACTGGGTTACTACATACTGTGATAATGATTTAAAGCCATGGATAGATTCACACAACTCATGGGTAAATAGTTTCTTTGTCTGTTAGAGTTTTTAGGGGTAGTCTTTCTAAAATACAAAGTGCTAGATCAGCCATGTGGAATTGACAGATGGTTAACACACCTTTAGCTTTGTCTATTTTTGTTCCCCAGCTAATTTAGTATTACCTTAATGGGTTGCCCTTTTGACCTTTGTTCTTAATCTAAGTTATTTTACCTGCATAGTTCCAGTTATCATTTTCCATTATACCCTATTGTCAGATATGAGACCACATTGCTTAGATATTTTTCTAGTAGTTCGTGAGGGGATGCCTTAATCTTTAAAAAAATATTCTGTGACCTAGTCTCATGTATAGGCACAGTTATGTGGAACAACAATCACTGGTTAAAGGTTCATGCAACGACTTGTTCCCCCCGTTCTCCTCAGGCACATGTCTCACTTTTTGACTGCTCTTTACAATAAATCTTATACATCAATCAACATCAGTAATCAAGGGTACCGGTATTTGAAATATAATTTGCTGTCATCTTTTTGGCACCCGTGAACGTTCTTTCCTCTTCTACACATGCATATTTTCTATCATACACAATTTTGTCTGTGGAATTGTATCCAGCTTTGCCTTGACTCATATTATGATGTGATTAAAATAGGTGAAAAGTCTAAAATTATATTTTAATATAAGCCTTTGTCTGAATGGTCCTTGATATGCAAGAGGCATAGTACTCTTTTCATATGTCTTGATTCCATCTCATGTCTTTCTATTTTCAGCAAGGATTTGTTGCATTTTACGACAGAGAACCTGAAAGGAGAAATGATAGCCCCTGGACATCTTTTCGTAAGATTTGTGGATTTGCAGCAGGGGCAATAGGTGTTTTAACTTTAGGGGCCATCTTAACCCAAAAGTCATGAAATGAAAGATAGGAAGGGACCAAAGTATTGTTTTTATATGTATACCTCTTAATTTATTTGGATGTGCTTTAGTCTTTCGATGGATCTTCTAACTACATTGGAAAATATTTTCTTGAATTGATGTTGTGCTTCTTGGCTGGTGATTGAAAGTTGTTGAGATTTACACCATCATAGATTATGTCTCAAATTGTAGTCTGTTGAAGTGGTTCTGGGATTAGGAATCTGAGGAGCTAAACTGCCCTGTTGAGATGGAAATTAGTAAGAAATAAGTCTTATGAAATTTATGCAAAAGGAGTACCAGTAATAGAATATTATTTACAAATAAAAATTTAAATGCATTAATATTAAAAACATTATATCAGGTTTTTAGTCACAAGACAATGTGTACCCTTATCCTTGTATTATGTTTGTAAGTTATAAATATCATATATAAAGTGTACTAGGATCTTTCCATGAATCATTGTTAAACTATATATATAGATCATGAGCAAACTGGTGGTACCATTACCTACTGTGTATAGGAAGTAGAACAGGAAATATGAAACAGAAAAGGGAGTCTTATGTTTCACCTCAAATTAGTTATTTGCGTTCAAGATTACAACCCTTTTACTTCAATCATAGCCTCTGTTCTTTTCATTAGGTGATAATTTTTCTAAAATATAACCATGATATTGAAATTTTTTTGGATGATGTCTTGATATATCTTATAAAACAAGGAATACATTGTGATATTGTAACTTGTATATTTCCCTAATGTCCTCAAAGGTCAGTGTTACAAGCTTTTCCTTCTTGTGTCTGTAAAACCATACTAAATATCTGTACAAAAAAAGATTATCATAAGACCTATGTGGGTTTTGTTATTTGGCTAATGAACATGTTCTATATAACTCTTTAATCTCAAAGATTTTTATTTTCTCAGACTTGAGAATAAATTGCCCAAAATATGACCCTTGACCTTGATAATAATTAGTAATCATGGTGAGACGTAAATTTATTGGTACACTTATGATGATTACTCTACATCAGTAGAAATAAGACTGTTTGGAATGCAATTCTTTTATTATTATTATTAATGAATATCACTTTGTCCAGATGAAAATGACATCTTAATGAGAAAAATAGTTTAATATATCTTTGATTATGAATAACTTATCTATTTTGATAATTTGATAATCTTAGTTTGTTGTAGATAACTATTGATCACATGTAAGCTAGTTAAAAACACTGTGTAATGAATACTGTGCTCATCAGTTAATAACGCTATCTAATAAATTATATTATGTTCATCAGTTAATAACACTTATCTCAATACACCCTAGTACTATGTAATAAATATTATGTTCATCAGTTAATAACACTTATCTCAATACACCCTAGTACTATGTAATAAATATTATGTTCATCAGTTAATAACACTTATCTCAATACACCCTAGTACTATGTAATAAATATTATGTTCATCAGTTAATAACACTTATCTCAATACACCCTAGTACTATGTAATAAATATTATGTTCATCAATTAATAACACTTATCTCAATACACCCTAGTACTATGTAATAAATATTATGTTCATCAGTTAATAACACTTATCTCAATACACCCTAGTACTATGTAATAAATATTATGTTCATCAGTTAATAACACTTATCTCAATACACCCTAGTACTATGTAATAAATATTATGTTCATCAGTTAATAACACTTATCTCAATACACCCTAGTACTATGTAATAAATATTATGTTCATCAGTTAATAACACTTATCTCAATACACCCTAGTACTATGTAATAAATATTATGATCATCAGTTAATAAGACTGTATAATTAATACATCATCATAAGAGGTATTATTCCTTTAAAATTGTATGACAAAAAAACTGTTGAAATCGGCCATGGTTTATTGTTACATAGAATATATAACGTATTATTAAACATACCATAATATTATTTCATACCATTATTTATTACACAATGTTATTAACTGGCATATAAATGATCCCATAACATAAGGTGTGCCATGGCATATTGCTTAGAATTCATATTACTGGAATTCTAGTCAAGATATGAATAAAAATGCCTGATATAGAATTGAAATGACATGGGATTTTAAAAAGACTGTATGTCTGATGTCAGGTTGACCTTTAAATTCTTTGATTATTCCTGGAGAAAATGCCATTATAGATTTTCTCTGATATTGTATGTATACTTCTAATGCACTTGTATTGAGTCACTCAAATATACCATAGGCAGCAACGATATCATGTAACGCGAGGGCGGTTATTTGATATAATGGGGGAGTTGTTTGCCAACATAGTGAATTTCGTAATGCTATTTCTATTCTATGAGCAATATGCCAATACTGATAACACATCAAATATTTTACGACCGCTAATCCTTTATATTTGTTATAAAAAAATCTGAAAGATGACCATATGAAATATCACGGCGACTAGAAAAGATACGTTATGAGAACGCGAGAAAAAGTCATTATGACAAACTCACAAACATACCGCGACCTATGCGACCACATTGCGGTCCCACTACCCACAACGAACCCGCTACGACTGATACAGACAGGGGGCGTGTCAATTTAGATCTTTTGACTTGGTAGAGGCCTCTGGAGCAAACGTTTTTATATCATGTTCATAGTGTCAAGGTATTACGAACTGCGAACGAACTCTAATATATTGACTTAATTGGGCTCCTTTCTTGTATCATGGAATAGAGCGATTGGATTGGATTGTATGCTAACGAATGAATATAGCCAACCAGAGCCCTCGACATAAAGAATGTATACACTATGGTTTACAGTTTTTCTGTCGAGGTATCTAATTGGTTGTATTCGGTAGCTTACAATCCAAACAAATGGCAACATTCAAAAACTTCCTTGATACTAGAAAAGAGCCTAATGCAGTCAAGGTATCAGGCGCTGTTCGTAATAGCTGGACATTGTAAAGACAATATTGACCCATGTTCATTATTTAAAGTATGATAATAGTAGCATATTGCATGGTAATTATATTATATCAGTCAGTAACAATATTAAAATATTGCATATCGTTCATTGGACTAATTAAGAAGTGTGATTAATAAGCGATTTAGTCTGTACACTGGACTGTCAGTTATTTAGATTATTTCATTATGATTCATCTGGTAATTAGGATAAACATTAATCAGTAACTAGACGTCTGATTGTGATAATTATTTAATGTAATATTTTTAGTCATATATTCTAGATGGACCGAGATTTAAAGGGATTGTAAAGAGGTAGAATCATTTTGCTCTATTCCAGTATGCTTTTATCGAATAGTGACGTCATCAAACACTTTGTTTTAGTGGAATTTTAGAAACTAAACACGTCTGATTTAAAATTTGAATGGTGTAAATTGATGCTATCAGTATCCCCGATACACAAAAAAAAATCTAGAAAAATTCTTTAAAATCCATTTAAGGCTTGTAGTGTAATCTGGATAATACATACACCATTCGCTCGTAACTGTACGGAGATAAATATTGATACAGTTTCAAATAAAAATATTCAGAAATCATCTTGTTTTGAAATAGGCGACAAGTTAAGGTGAAAAGAAATATTTGTCGTCACGTCTTTGTTATTTTAATATGATTCCAAGAAATCCATTTATTTATTATATACAAGGGAAGCTTATTGAATTCCAATATCTCCATAATGCATTATTTTGATTCTGTCTGAAAATTAAAGGAGACCATTTACGGTTTTCCGTTTGTTGTACTGCAGGGTTATTAGTTGTACTTTTGTCAGTAAAAGTTTTAAAATGTTCTTCATCCATAAATAATCCTCAGAAACCTCTGCCATGCAAAGCTATTTTCGTGCAAAACGATGATTGTGATCAATATGTTTGAATAAACTCTATTTTTTCTGGTTGCGATCCACTGTACAAATGAATGAATGACACAATTTTATGGATAACAATTACTTTGATGATGCTTTCGTCTTTATCAAGCAAGTTATTTATTAAGGTAATTGTTAACCATATAATCGTGTCCAGTTATTTATCCCCAGTTACCAAATGCCACTCAAGGAAGAAAATGAATGTTGTATTTGAATCAGATTTTTTTGAATTTATATTTGAATACTATTTTATAATTAGCTATATTTTAGAGACTATTTAATGTGATTTTTATGTTGTGTTTATGTACAACTATAAAACAAACTGTATTTTGTACTTGATTCCTGAATTTACAAACCAAACTTTACTTCATTGATAATGTCGAACATTATTTTATTTAGTATACAGTAGAAAATATGTGTTTATCAAAACCCTAAACGCATAAAATTAAGTGTAAGTAACGTTTATTGGGGTGTCATTAATTCTATCAGAGAGGACAACTCTGTAAATGTAGAATTTAGGTTGGTACTACCTTCAGAGCATGGTTCGCTTTTGTCGAATCTATTAAGTTGTGAAGGTATATATTGTTGATTATTTGTTGTGTAGAGTGTTATTAAAGAATGGTTGTAAATATTACAAACTTGTCTTTGTATTAGTTGCCTTTTTGACATGATAATTTAAGTATCTTTACATTGACCCCTTCTCATTGCCAGTTACTTTAATAATTAAGGCTTTTTACTTCCAAATATGGAATATATATCTACCATTGACCCTATATCAATCGTGGTTGGAAGCTTTAGGGCATGCATTAAATACTCGGTCTAGTTCTTTACTCCGGAAATATTTTCGTTATATCATGGTACTGTCATCCGCCAATACCAACGCGAAATGAAAAGTCATATATTTTAGTGAAAGCTATGGGCAAGGGAACTTGAAATATTGGTATATTCGACATATTATGTATAAGTGCCGATCTCGTCAACTGATATCTACATAAAACTCCATATTTATCCAACCATGATGTTCCTTTAGCAACGGTACGATGTTTATCCACCATGTTCCTTTAACAACGGTACGATGGTTATCCACCATGTTCCTTAAACGACGGTACGATGATTATCCACCATGTTCCTTTAGCAACGATACGATGTTTATCCACCATGTTCCTTTAGCAACGATACGATGTTTATCCACATCTATAAATGGATGTATATACATAATCATCGTACCGTTGTTAAAGGAACATGAAATAACCCAAGATAAAATGCTTTAAAATGAAATGAAACGTCTTTCATGGCGTATACATCTATTACAATTCAATTACTTTCACATTTCTTGGTGCAGTCTCTAATCGTCAGCATACTTACTTAGTATAATTTAAAGCTGCCAGATATAACTTTCCATTCAGGTTTATACAAGGTCTTAAAGAAAAAGGAAAAGTAAACAAATAAATATAAAAGATCACCACAAACCATTTTCTTTTGAATAGGGTGATGGCGTCAGCTGAATAATCTATTATTAGCTCTATCTTGTAAATTTATTTATAAGAAATAAAGATAAATGAACAGCATATCTATCAGATTTTACAAAATTTACTGTACTTAAAATTATGTCAACTTGAACTTTCTGTAAATAATGATGTTGTCATTTTACACTTTAGAAAAATCAGATGTGTGTCATAAACAAGTTTCTTTTATTTGTAAATTACCTTTTAAGTGTTAATAACCATATCACAACATTCGTGTTTACTGCGACTTATAATTTTCTGTAATAAATATATTGTGCAATCTAAAATAATCTAAATCTCAACTTTCAAAAAGATCAGAGACTTTCAATCATGCAACTTCAAGGGCCCCATTTGAACAAAATGTCTAATTTCGTTAGAAACAATCCTGCGAAAAAATTATGAAAATAATTACTCAACTTCAACATGTTATTAGACGGAGTGTGCATAAAACAAAAGTATACAAGGCAAATTTCATCGTTAATGATCTTATTTTGATCAGTTTGAGAGATTAATTGAAGTACGTTTAGAAATAGGAGGGTGAAACACCAGGAACTTCAGTGTATATATATAACCAATATACATTCTTGAGTTACTTTAACATAATGAATTATAAATCCAGAATCAATACACCCTGTCTAGTTCCTGTTATTTCTATAGAACCCTCAGATAATGCATTATGTTAGGTCAGTCTCAAAACTTGAACAAGAAGCTTGATATAGATATTTTCTTATAACGGTCTGTCATATTTTTCAGACACATTTCTATAAAAGAGCGGTGGTGCCTAATAAGGTTACAGGTCTTGAGAGTTGACTCATCAAAGACACCCTTACGCTTAACGGATGAACTATGGCCATTCAATACATATCTCAATGCTATGCTCTGGTATACATGTGTTACATATATAAATATAACAACGTCGTCTGCTGTTTACTCCAGGAGAAAAGAAAAAATCAACCAACTTCAAAGATTAGGTGGAAAGGTTAAGGTTCTTCGGTAAAATAATTTAACCTTTAACTACAGAACAAACTGGTATCGGATTACTTCAGCACATTCCACAGAGATTTTTTGTGGTTGAAATCTGGTCTGACCGTTTCCATCAACTATTTATATAGGCATCGTTTACGGTTTTTCAATAGTAAACAAGAATAGTCGAGTTCGAATTAGGGACAGAGTACCATAATATTTATTTGCGACTTTATGAAATGAAATACAGTGTTGGAGAGCAATTATTGACCGAATGTGGATCACTTTTTGAATTCTATGCCAGTTACCAGAAAACTGTACTATAATTATACTAATGAGATTTTATAACATGTGCTTCTACATCAGAGAATGGTGCATCTTGTATGCACGATGACGGTTGCGCCAAAATGACAATTTTGCAACACCTTGGTCCTTGGCATAAGAAAGCTGGAACTCTACATCTTCGCAACTATTAGTTAATTTTCTCGATAGTGATTTTGCCAACAATGTCAAGTCTCTTTATGTTGTATTTTGAATTTGTTCCTTTCGAATTGAATTAACCAGACGTCGGCCACCGACAGAAGACTCGGAATCAAGTAGAAGCGTCTTAACAAGTTGATAGACCGGGCAATATTTCGATCGTCCTAACCCCATTTCTCAAAAAATGGCGTTTCTCATCACATTGAATAACTGTATTTAATGGGAAAAAAAGAAAATTCGACATCATTTTTGATCCCTAAGTGTCTTTGACTGAGCAGGGAATTGTCAAGTGGCACTGACCACCTTCTCGATTTTTCGCCTTCGTCTCAGTTGAAAGCCACCATTTTTTCGCTTCGGCGATGACGTCAAAACAGCGATAATGTCATCAATAAGTTTCATTGACTGTGGAAATCAAAATTTTCGCACGCTTTGAATTGCAATGAATAATTTTGCCTCGCCCGTAAAAATTGTCCCTTGGAAAACGGTCTTGCCAAACACGGTCGACGGTATTCCTTGAAATCTGTGATTTTCATCAACTAGTAAACACCACTGGCATCAATCACTTAACTTGGTCGACCTGAACACAACTAGAAAAGCAGTCGTCAAGAACGCATATTCTATCTGACGGGAAAAAAGCTGGATTTGAATTCTGTAAATTAGTAGACGGACTTGACGATCATCCAGTCAACCACAGATTGCCAATTGATCGATATCATCATGTTGCTGAGTGTTAGACCTGATGAGATGTTTTTGAAATGCTACAGTGATTAATGAAGAGAGAGCATACAGATGACAGAGCAGCTCACGAGGCCTTTTCTGAACAATTTTCGCTTTTCCACGTTATGCACTCCGGTCCGCTAATTAAGCATGTCAGAACTGTTATCTTGTATATCAAAGTGAACAGTATCACTATCTGACATATCAATCACTAAAATTCGTTCATATTTCATGTATGATAAACATAGCGGTCTAGAAAGATAGGAAATATAATTGGCAATTGACCAACTATTTTACAAATATATACTAGATATTTCAACAATTTTCTACAACGTCACAGAGAATCATATTATACTTACAGAACTTATAAATTTTAGTACAGTGTTATCTAATTTACGCTCTACTATTCCGAATTTATTGAAATAATGAAGTCCAATTTATGTGAAATATTTTGGCAGGCTGTATTTTGTGTATGCTATAATTTCAATGTCACATGAGTAGGATTCATCGTAATATACTAAATAAATGGCTACACGTAAATTGAAAAAAAAAAGCATAAAGTCACAGTGTCCTATATTTAACTGCACAAATTATATCTGGAGTATTTAAGGTGTAGGCAAAACACAAACGGGTGGTGATCTCAGAATCACTATTCAGAAATTGTTTAAGCATACTGTAACGATTTATGTTTTTGGCAGAGGTCTTGTCTCCATACAACCCTTATTAGGCTGTATGGTTCTTTGTTTGACTCGATGTGAGTGAAAGAGTGCCGATTTGCATTTATATATGATAGGTTATCAATTATCCGCTGATATGAATTTGAATAACCTTTAGTGTAGGAAATAGGAACCATGGTCTTTTACTTTGGAACTCTTGGAAACACACAAATTCAAGACAAAATTCGAAAAAATATCTCGGTCACGAATCCTACGTGTTTTGTCGAGGAAGTTACCGAAAATTCTACACAATCTGCAACCTTACGACTGCGAAAATTTGCCTGATTAGACCAATTTCATCAATTGGTGTAACCTAATCTGATTTTCAGCTGAGTTACTAAAGGCTAAAATCAGATTAGACAGAGAAATCTTAGACCAATGATAACATTTCAGTTTGAATATTTTACTTTTGTTCAGGAAATCGAATCGAAAAATTAACATTTATGTGAAGTGGATATAGAAATGTGACTCTTTCAATATTATACTGTGTACTATGTTTGTTGAATTATTTTTTCTTAAAAGTATTCGCTATTGTGCTTTGTTATGAGAGGGCTTTACACTTTAATATAGCACATCTTTTATCTCACAGTTATCCGGTATGCATTGATGATATAAATATAGCCTGACTATTGTGTACATGATTGTGGGCCCATTATATCCTTTGTGAAGATCGTATTACAATACGACTCTCACGGCTAAAAATTATGATTGTGTAATATCGTCACATGTGAGTGATAATAAAACAAGGAGGGGCCATTGAAAAGTGTGAATAGTATAATCATTCAAGCAACTATTTTTTTGTACTTATTACTGCTACCGACATTCCAAACTGTTTCATTAAAGATACATGGATTGCAAGAAAATATAAGTACATGTAATATAAGAAACTAGTAATATACGTTATTTTATGTTAATATATAGTTCTGGTTGAGTGGATTGATCAATAAATATGATCCCTAGTTATATACTGTGATATTCAATAACTATTTTACTTTGGTCTATCAAATGTTTAGAATTAACCTATATTTAATGCATCAATAAACAACCTGAAAGGTTCATTTTGGCTTTAATGAACTTTTTAGAATGTTTTGTTAAGGGTATACGGGTATGCCTACGCTTAAAGGACTTAAAGGTGCAAATTAAGACATTTTAAACGACAAGTTTATACACAATGTTTTATCTTAAACAAAAATTTTATATAAAATTTTTTATTTGAAACATGTCTTAAGTATTAAAAAGGTGTTCCAACTTCCTTTT